TCCCAGCCACCACCTCCTATGACACCCTCAGATTTACTTTAGCCTTTTGGGGGAATGAAGAATAGTTACCAAAACCTGTAACAAAACAGACTCAAGACTGTGTTATTAAATATTACTTATTGGGTGGTATTAGGATTACTGACTTTGGTCCTTCAGAGCAATTTAAATTCTGCCTCGTCTACTCACAAGCTTGAGCATGTAAGGACTCTCCTCCTTTCTCAGCAAAATGGAGATAATAATACATTACCTATTGTGCAGACTGTTGAGATGAAGGAATGAGGTAATGTGTGTTTAGTGCCTATAACACAGCCCACAAAGAAGGAACTCCACACATGAAAACTGTGCATTAGTCAGGATCAACTAGGTTAGGCTCAGATAACAGTAAACTCTCAAATCTCAATTGTTTTACAGAGTTTGGGGCCATTCTTAGTTCAAACAAGCAGAATTTGTAGGGCTTTATTTTTGTTGGGACTAGGGGTTGAACTCAGAGCCTCCTGCTTCAGAAAAAAAAAATTTTTTTAAACCATGAATGATTTGAGGAATACCAGAGCGGAATATAACTAAGACTGCTTATTACATCACTCAAAGCCTTTACCAAAGGTAAGTTTTTTCCTTCCTTCTTTCAGCTCTGAATCTGGATACTCGCCCAAATGGTTTGCAAAAGAGACACCCACATCACCCCACCAACAACTATGCAATGGTCAAAGCGCACAATCTTCGTCAACCCTGAGCCTTCTAGTTGCAGCGCCACGCAGGCTCTGAGCTGTGCAGCAGCTGGAGTGTCTCCATGAGAAAGAAAGCTGTGGTCAGGAGTCATGAAGACTGATTCCGAAACTCCCTTGCAGGAGAAGAGGTCTGAGCCATCCCCGTCCACCCCCAGGAGACACTCCAGCTCCTGAACAGCCAGGGCTGGGGGGGCTGCCTTCAATTAAAGTCTTTGATTGCATCAGAGATCGTGTCCCCTCTCTTTGCCCCTTCCCAACCTACTGCCGAGAGTCCCACAAGTGTGCAGCAAGTTGATCTGGCATCTTTTGTAAGAAATGTGGTCTTAGATGAATACAAAATATTTCCACCATATTCACCCTTTATGTCCTCCCCCTCCCACTATTTTCCACCCCCAGACAGGACCTGTTTTACCCTCCTACATTTATTAAAAAAACATTTTTGTTAGTATATGATAGCTATCCAGGGGTTTCATTGTGACATTTCCACATATACATTATGCTCTGAATTGGTCCATCCCCTCCATCATTCTCCCTCCTACCCCATTCCTCTTCTGAACATAGAACCTGTTGAAATTGAAGAAGGGGAGGAGGGGAGAGAAAGGAGAAAGATGGAGGGGGTGAACTAATTAAGATATATGGTAAACACATAACTGTACTCCCTGTACATTATAATATGGTAACAAAACCTGTGGCCTTATCATTTTGAAACATTTCAGTCACAATCTAACAAGAACGTGCCTAGGAGAGCTGTGTGGTGTAAGAGGCAGCTGTTGATGTAGATGTAATGTAGTGGACATCTAGAGCCAGAGGGCACAATTCTGCTCACCCACTGTGCGACTCGACTGTGCTCAGGGCACCAGCGAACAGCAAGGCGGTGGTCAGAACTCTGCAACAGCAGCTGAGTCGTGCAGTGGACGGCCAGGATGGCCATCTAGTGCTGCTTCCGCTCAGTCACCTGCAGGAGACCCCAAGTGGCTTCCACTTCAGGCAGGAGGCCATCACTTTGATATTCTGATTAGACCCTAACTGACAGAGAGAAGAAGAGGCTGCCTTAGGCAGTACAGACAGTGATAGAGACCCAAGCTACAGCAGCAGGGCGAGGCTTGGCAAGGGGCCCAGGTTACAGTGTGCTTCTCAGGGAATGTGACCACACATGGAGAAGACTGGTGAATGAGGCTCTTGGGGTGTTGAGGATAGGTCGGCAACAGGGATCATTTTACTGTGGGTGACATCTAAATGGCCATTCTAAAAGGAGGGGGAACCAGGCATGGTGGTGTATACCTGTAATCCTAGCACTCCTCCCAGAGGAGGATTGCAAACTCAAAGTCAGTGAGATACTGCTACACACACACACACACACACACACACACACACACACACACACAAGAGGTTAGAAATATTTTGCAGGAAGAAATACAAGAACTATCTATGGCCTGGAAGTGGAAGTAAACAGAGGGGCTCACCATGTGTGTGAAGTTATCAGTTTTCTACATTGCAGCACTACTTCCCACTAGTGAAAGACAGTCTACTTCCTTGGGCCTGTCTGGTCCAGGGCCCTCTTCCACTGCCAATGCACTGCATCCCTGGACCACCCTCTGCCCAATGGTGAGTGGACACATTCCTCAGCATGTCCCATGCCAAGGCCTCACCTTCCTTCCCCAGTAAATGCCATGTCCCATTTGTCTTGGACCTGCTTCCTGCAACAGAAACACCAGGGACTTTGCACATAAAAGAAAATCGCTTTGACAACTTAGAAGGCATGGAAATGAGATACTGCTAGGTATGGTGAAGTACACCTATAATCCTAGTACCGAGAAGGTTAAGACAGGAGGACGATGGGTTACAGGCCAGCTTGGGTAACACAGTGAGACCCTATTTTAAAAAAGAATGAGATATTACTATATACCTATCAGAACGGGCAAAATTCAGGTAACACTGATAATAGCAAATGTTGACAAGGATGTAGGATAATAAATTATCATTCATTGCTAGTGGAAATGCAAAATGGTTTATCCACTGTGGAAGACAGTATGATTTGCTAATTTCTTACAAAACTAAACATACCCTTATATACATCATGTTCCTGTGTAGGCAAAAAGTGAGAATCACACATGGATGTTCACATAACTTTTTTCCTAATTGCCAAAACTTGGCGGCAACCAAGATGTCCTTTAGAAGGTGCATGCGTGAACTGTGGCACATCCACAGTGGAATATTGTGCTAAAAACAAATGAGTTACTGAGCCACACAAAGGCATGAAGAACTTTAAATGCACATTACTAGGAGAAAGAAGCCAATCTGGAAAGACCCCATACTGTGTGAGTCTAACCATGACATTCCAGAAAAGGTAAAACTGTGCAGACAGTCACAAGATCAGTGATAGCCAGGGTCAGGGTGCAGGGAAATGAAAGGAATGAGTAAATGGTGTCAAGGATTTTTTTAGGGCAGTGAAAACACTCTGTGACACTACAATAGGGAAACATGTCATTACACATTTGTCCAAAACCATGGGATGTACAGCAGCAAGAGTGAGCCCTAATGTAAACCACAGACTCTGGATGACTATAATGTGTACGTGAAGGTTCATCAGATCTGACAAACCCACCACTGTGGAGGGGAATGTGATGATGGGAAAAGCCATGGACATGTCAGGGCAGGAAGTATATGTGGGAAATCTCCGTAGCTTCCTCTCAATTTCAACTTCTTTTAAAGCATATGAAAAACAGAGAGTAAAAAAAGAAATCTAATCAGATAAAATAAATCTTAAGGCAAAAATTCTTCTACAGATAAAGGGAAAATTTTACAAAGATAAAAGGGTTGATTCATCAGGAAGTTACAACAATCCTAAATTTATATGCATGTGACAACAGAGCAAACCTTGCCAAAAACAAATATAAAATATGTGCTATTATACATAATGAAACCCACTAACGCCTCTTAAAAGGGGAGGAGACAGAGGACTAAGAAAGGGTAAGACAGATGGGGTGAATCTGACCAAAGTATATTATATGCAAATATGCATTGTATGGAAACACCACAGTGAAACCCCTTTGTACAATTAATATATGCTAATAACATTTTTCATAAATAAAACATACACTATTATAAAATACACATCCATAAAAACCTGCACACAACCATTCATTACAGCATTATTCATAAAAGCCAGGAAGTACAAACAATCCAATTGGTTAATGGACAAAATACAATGGAATAATATTTAGCCATAAAAAGAAATGAAGTTCTTATATTTACACACTACAGATGAACCCCATGACATTATGCTCTGTGACAAAAGCCAGACATGAAAGGTCACACCGGATATATTTCCATTTATATGCAATGTCCAGAATGGGAAAATTCAGGGTCTGAGGAGAAGGGGAACTGGGGAGTGACTGCTGTAAGGGTAGAGGAGTTTGGGAGTTCTTTTTGAAGGAAGGTGAAAATATTCTGCAATTAAATATAGTGATAGTTATGAACCTCATGTATACACTAAAAACCAGCAACCTGTACACTTTATGAATTTTATTTCAACTTTTTTAATTATGCAAAAAAAAAAGTTGTCAGGACTAAAAGGAGAAACAGAAAATGCATAATCCTAGCTGGGAGATTTTCCTCTCTGAGTTAGAGGTAGAACAAACAACCAGAAACCAGTAGGGATACAGATTCGAACAACAAAGTTAAAAGCTTGTGCTTACAGACACAGGTAGAAAGCAGCATGAAGCAGTTACAGAATAAAATCTGCCACTGAGGGCTAAAGATGTAGCTCAGTGATATTTGCCTAGCAGGCAGAAGGCCCAAGGTTCAATCACTAGCACTGCAAAAAATATATTAAATTTTAAAGCCGTGTTGGTTGAACCCTTGCTATGGACATACAAGCCTTAGTCTTTGTGCAGCAGCACCTCCACCAGTCCCCCACCCCTGCTTATTATTACACTCCGTCCTAACAGATGAGGAAATGGAGGTGCAGGAGGCATAGAAAAGGGGAGTATCTGGCCCAGAGTCTCCAGCTTGCTCCCAACCTCCCTACTATATTCATATAAAAATACCCCATGGATCAGCCAGGCACCAGTGGCTCACACCTGTAATCCTATTTGGGAGGCTGAGATCAGAAGGATGGTGGTTAAAGATCAGCCCTGGCAAACAGTTCACAAGACCCCCAGCTCCAAAATAACCAGGGCAAAATGAGTAGCAGAGCACCTGCTTTGCAAGTATGAAGCCCTGAGTTTGAATCCCAGCCATGGCAAAAACAAACAAAATACCCCATGGGGCTGGAGTAACTGAGTCTAACACAGATAACAAAAATATAAATCGGTATCTACTGTGTACAAAACAATGAGAATTTTTTTAAAGAAAAACAACAGCATATTGAATTCTTACTCAAGCTTCTAACTCAAAGCTGCAAGCACTGAACACTTTTTTGTATCAATCCTCACCTCTCCACATTCTACCGATGAAGACTGAGACCCAGAAAGGACACTGCTCCCAAGCAGCAGAACTTGGATTTGAGTAACTGTGACTATAGAATCCAAGCAATGCGCGTGGTCTTTACTTCCACGTTACAATGTCACACCATATCCACCCTCACCTGCCTCCAAATGACACAGAGCCTTAAGATCTAGGCGCATCAGGTGTCAGATCCTCACAGCAACCTCGTGAAACAGATGGGAGCCCCATGATGAGATCATAGGGGTTTTATGGACACAGAGAAATGTACAGTGTACTCATCCCATGTGGCCCACCCACCAGGTGAGACCATCAGAAGTTCTAGGGGAAGAAATAGAAAGACCACACCAAGGCCTCTGGCTTCTGTAAGTAGATCTTAAAATTGAAAAACTGTTATTCTGTTATTTTACAAACACATTTTTTATTCTGCTATTCAGCTTAATAGGGTTTTATGATTGGGTGATAAACACAGGCTTCTCTTGATCACATGCATATTGACAATTCCTTTGTCAGGTCAGAAAGACAGTGAGTGCCTTGGTGAATAATTTCATTGAGCAAAGCTGCCCTCAGACTTGGCTAGAGATGCTTACAGTGGCAATTTCCAGGGGCTCCTCTTCCCTGGCACAGAGAAAGAAATAGTCAGGTTTGTTTCATATGTGGCAAGTCACCTACATTATAACATTTCAGGTTCAGCAGACCACTTTATAAAGGAGTAAACTGACACTCAGAAAGAGTAAGGGACTTAGTCAAGGTCACACAAAGCCAGGAAGCAGCAGATCTGGGACAAGAATCCAGATCTCCTGTTAACTAGATCAGGCTTCTCTCTAAGCCCTGGCCACCTCGGTTGGGGCAGAGATTGGGAGGTTTTTCTGAATGCAGATAAAGGGAAAACAGTAGAATCAGCTGGAAATTATCACAACTTTGGCCTGAAAGAGCCCTTAAGAATCATCCAATCCCCCCATCGTGTAGACAGGCAAATGGAAGACCAGCCAAAGAAATAAACTTGTCACAAGTTACACAGCTAGAAGTGGAAGATCAAGACCAGAACCCAGTCCATCACGACCCAGGTCCCATCATTCAACTGCATTTGGGAAACAATTTGTCAAAGCTGTTGTAGAGATGGCAAAGCGCCTAGCCACAGGTTTAGACCATGCACAAAAAGTGTAAGGTGCAGCCTTTGATCTTGAGGAGTTTACAATCTAGCTAGAAAAACAGCATGTACACAGGAAAACAGAATTAATAACCTAAAACACCAGTACAGGTAGCAGCTATATCAAGAATTTAAAAGAGGCAGAAAACAGCGGAGCTGAGTGTATTGAAAACTTCCTGAAGGAGGGATACAAAGCTGGGCTTTGAAGCATGAATGAGAGCCTGAGCAACAGACAGAACAGGTATGTCAGTTCAGGAAAGAATTTCCACTTATAATGGCGTTTTGTGTGAGATGAAGCAAAATTCCAGATGAAGGCTGGGTCTTGGAAGCAGGAAGCCTTCAGATGCCAGGCCAGGGTTTTTGGATGTGGGCCTGTGCAACAATAGGTCTTCAAACTCTTTTGGAAACAGAACACATGGATGTCTCTGAGCTCTTCACAGAATTCCAAGAGTGACTTCATCCCAGGACAAGGTTAGTGTCAGAAACCTCGACCACTGTTCTAAGCCTCAGCCTAAAACTATAACCACAGGCATGCATGTCTTCAACAAAACCAGTCTTTGAGTCACACAGGACCCACCTTTCCAACTCCTCAGTTATGGTTATCTCCCCTTGGTCTCCTTCTGCCTCCTGTCTTCCTGTGTTCTGTAGCTGTCTAGCAGACAACAAGCCCCTGTGCCACTGCTGCTCATAAAACATGGGACAGAAAAACCTAAGAACGGAGGAAATTCTGAGACTCTGCTTCTCTTCTTCACACTGGAAAGGCAGTTGTACAACTCAGATCAGAGACTGCGCATGAAGGGCAGCATCGTCGCTGAGCTTCATCCCCATGTGACATGAGTGCCTGGCACAGGAGCATTGTCTGAGACCAGGCTTTGAGCACAGATTTGCCCTGTGGGGTCCTCTACATCTCCTGGTCTCTGGAGGGAATGGGGGATGGGAGTGGTCCCTCATCCATGCTACAGGTCCAAGAGGCCCAGAAAGTAGCTGGGCTGGGACCAGCTCAGCAACCACCAGCTCCAGAGGCCAGGGGTGAGCCAGCACGTGATGCAGCCAGCATGTGATGCCAACAAGACACTTACACTTGTGTGTAAGCACAACATCCCTGTGGCTGACACGACTGACACTCTTAGGAATGCACTCCAACACTGCTCTCCTCTCCTGGGCTGGCCACTGGCAGTCCCAGGCTCCTGAGGTCTCCCCACTTCTCAGTCTTGGAGAAAGATGAATGAATGGCTTTGTCCCTGGGTCACCTTGCCAGGAATGGGCAGCACCCTGTGCCCAGTATGTGGGCTTCTATGAGCTGGCAGGGGCATGGAAGCCTTGCAGAGTCCATGTGTCGCGTCTCCACTGCCTGGGGGAGCTGGGAGGTCACCAGAAGCCGGGTATAGTAGCCACCAAACACTGCCAGCAGCTGCCAGGCCATTTCCTGGAAGAGGCAGGGAAGCAGAGTAAGGACGGCAGGAAGCACCTTGAGGGCAGTGGAGCTTAAGCACAAGCCTCCACAATGTGTGACTCTGTCTCAAAAAACTTTTTAAAAATGAATTTATCAATAAAGGAAAAATACATCACTTCTACGAAGTACTCAAAGTAGTAAATTCATAGAGACAGAAAGTAGAGTGGTGGTCTGGCTGGCTGAGGGGAGAAGAGATGAGAAGTTAAGTGTTTAATAGGTGTGGAGTTTGAGTATGGGATGGCAAGAATGTTCTGGAGATGATGTTGGTGATGGTTACCCAGCAATGTGAATGTACTTGATATCGCTGAACATATACCCAAAAATAGTAATTTATATTATGTGTATTTTGCCAAAATGAAAAATATAAAAGGGAAAAAAAGAATTTAAAAAAATTGGATGATGGGTACAGTGCAATCTTAACCTATTTAGGAGATGGAAGTGAAGAGGATTATAGTTTAAGGCCAGCCTGGGCAAAAAATTTGCAAGACTCCATCTCAACCAATAAAAAGCTGGTGTGGTGGCCAAGCACCTGTCATCCCAGTTATGAGGAAGCATAAAGTGAGAGAATTGCTCTGAACACACATGGTCCCTAAGGAGCCACTCACTCATCCACAACTGGGATGACAAGGCAAACGCTTATATTCCTCACAAGGTCTTTTGCAACACTTGTGTCCACTCTAAATGTAAAAAATTAGGCGTGGGTTACATCAAGACTGTTTATATCTGTAGATATGCTAGCTCTAAGAAGGTTTTCAAATCAAAAAGGCCAGGAAGGTATTCCAGGTCACTTCCTCTGGCTGAGGCTATGTCCTTACCAGAGACAGAAGCATCTACTGTGGTGGTGAGGTGAGGACTGAGGGGCATTTAGCCCAGTGCCTAGTGCTCAATAAATGTTATCAATATCATCATCATTACTCAAAAAAGCAAACTCCCCATGGTTCCTCAGACTGGTTTTTATATTGAGCTGTCCTTTGTGCCAGAAAATATTGAAAATTTCAAATAGTCTCCTACTCACTAACTCAGATTGATCTTCTCACCAATTTAGTCTAAAATCAATCACGTAAGAAGTAGAGAACTTTAGCAAGAAAACTTGTCTATCAAGAATCAGCAGGGCTGGCTTCTGCACTTGACTTTGCCACATTCATTCCCGCTTCAACTTGAGCAAGTCAGCTGACCTGTTGACCATCAAAGAAATGAAAGTAACTCAACCTCAGAGGGCATGCTAAAGAATTTTATACAGGACAAAAATCTATAAAAATGTAACAGGCCATTCCACTTTTCTCCCTGTCTTTCACAGACTCCGGACTCTTACTGAACAGGATGGTCTGGCCCATACAGAAATCTGGCCAGTGGTTGTATTTTCCCTAGCTGTTATAATGGCAGCTACTTTAAAAGCATGCACACACATACACTTGATATTCATGACAGGAAATTGTATTACTATGGGTTTGAATGAATTTGAAAAAATGATTTAAAAGGTCCATACTTAATGGGCTTTTGCACAAACCCAGACATGCCTGCCACAAAAAAATACATGATCTTATACATCTTTTCTGCTCTTTAAAAATAATGTCAATAAATGCAAGTGAAGAGATTAATACATTCATCATTGTCTCTTAAATAGTCCTACTGGGGGGCCTCCCACTCTCCACCAGCACAAAAGAGGAAACTATAAGCTGGTTTGGACCTTGACTCTCCAAAGCCCTTGGCTAAAAACAAAATGAAAGTCATCTCCTCAAGTTCCAAATGTCTCCTGAGGTCAAAATGTCACCTTGCTGCTTGTCACCCTATCAGTGGGTCTATACTCATGGTTTGAAGAAAATAGCAGCAGCTATAAACCATTACCAGATTTCTGGTCTAGCAGCAGTGAACAAGGTCCAACACAATTTGGGTGGGAGGACCCAACAGGACCCTAGGACTGGAGGATCTAGAATTTCACAGAATTCCAAGAATCATATCACATCCAAACATCAACTGCAATTTAAGTAGATGAATGGATGACGGCTGGATAGAGGAACAGATGATGAATTGATTGATCTATAGATTTTTTTTTTTTTTTTGGCAGTGGGGTTTGAACTCAGGGCTTACACCTCGAGTCACTCGACCAGCCCTTTTTCTGTGATGGTTTTTTTCCAAGCTAGGGTCTCTAGAATTATTTAACCAGGCTGGCTTCAAACCTCAATCCTCCTGATCTCTACCTCCTGAGTAGCTAGGATTATAGGTGTGAGCCACTGGAGCCCAGCTATAAATAGATTTTTAAAGATCAAATATTCATCATTACTGGTGAGGTAAACAATAATACAATTAACAAACAACTCACTCTCCTCCAATGTCACTATCAAAAAGGATAGCCAACCTAGCACTCAGGAAGCTGAGGCAGGAGGACAATGAGAGCTACATAGTGAAACCCTGTTTCAAAGGATAGCCAAGGTATTTTTAAAAATCAACCAAAGAAAACCCCAGGAAATAACAAGTGATTCCAATAAACTACTTTTAAAAGTGTTGGGGTAAAGTCAGGCATGGTGGCACCACTTGCAATGCCACCACTTAGGAGACTGAGGCAGGAGGATTGCAAGTTCAAGGCTACATAGTGAGACCCTGGCTCAAAAATAAACAAAAAATAAAAAAGTGTTGGACTGGACAAAAAGAATGAAAGATAGACTTGAGCTACAAGTTTTCAATGGTCTCTAGCTTGGGAGATGCCGCCACACAGACTTCCTGTCTGTGCACTTGAGGGAGGGCCGGCCTGACTGCAGTGACACCCATTACCTCTGGCTCAGCTTCTGGGATGAGCTGGTAGAGCTCGGTCTGCATAAGTGGTCTCTCCTGAGGATCAGGGCTGCTGGGCAGGAGAGGAGTATCCTCCATGTCTTCAGGCCCCTCCACCAGGGGACTCACCCCCGTCTCCATGACAACACATAACTGGCTCAATCTGCTTCTCAGCAAGGACTGCAAAGGAAACAGAGGGGGCTTGGTGTGTTCTAAATCAGGGAGGATCTGGGAGCCTGTTGACTGCCTGAGCTGCAGATATGGCAGAGGGAGGATCCAGCTGCAGACCCAGATGCTGACCTCAGAAGAATCTGGACTGAGCCATACTGGCGACAGCATGTCATCTCCTTAAGAGTGTCTGAAAGACTTTCCCTCTATGCTTGCATTTGCTTCTCCAAGCAGCCTGGGATGGGGTGTCTTTATCTACATGTTGCAGACAAACAAACTGGGGATTGAGGGCCTTGCCCACGGACACACGGGAGCTAATGAGCCAGGATCAGGGTGGTACCATATCCTGACTTCAGGACCATCTGCAGTGTCATGGCCCAGGAAGAAGTGATCCTAGGGAAGGAGCCCAGGGCTAGGAGCCAGGGACCTGGCCTCTACACCTGGGCATCACCAAGCAGCCAATGACCATGACCACAGTCAGAGGACAGGTCTCAGAGCCTGCTTCCTCCTTGGTAGAACCAGCAAGATCTCTCTGGCTTTCTGAACAAATGATAGAAAGGCACTTAGAACAAGTGAAAGTCATGTAAACATATGATATCTTTGGATCTGCCAGAGCTTATTAAATATGATTATCAGTATGAAGAAATACATACTCACCATGGGAAATGTGGAAGATGTGATTAGTTAAAAGGAAGCAGAAAAATAGCCATTATTCCTGAGGCAAAAGCAAGCACTGATTCCATGTGGGTATTCTTCCTTTCAAGCAACTTTATCTTAGACATTTTCCAACACTGATGTGATACAATGTATAAAATTTGGCCTCTTGGTTTATTTCATTTTTTCCCTTAAGACAACTTACCTCTTGGCTAGTCTTCATCTCTTGAACACAGTCAGACAAAAACTGCACACAATTCTCCAGGTCAAAGTAGACAAACCAGAGCTGTGGAGAGAATCAGTCAGTGCCACAGTGATTTAGCAACTCCTAACCCTGAGTCTTTCTTCCACCCCTTGCTCTTCAACCAAGGCCAGACTTCTGAGGACTATCCTAATGTGTCCACCTGTTTAGGTTCCAGACACAGACAGAAAGATGCCCTGATCTCAGGAGTGATCAGCTCCACAAAACAGGGACTTGTGAGGTTTCTGCTGCAGCTTCAGCCCCTACAACAGTGTCTGGCACATAGGGCTCTAAAGAATCATCTGCAAGATGAACAGGCCTGTGATGAGGAGTTTCTTACAGGTCCCCTGCATGTGCTCACTGCTGTCTACTGGGTTCCTCCAGAGCAGGGGGCCAGAGTGGGGAGATACAAGCAGGTGAAGGAGATTCTGCATCTCCACTGGAGATGCAGCCAATACATCAGGAGCTCTAGCCCCAGCAGTGTCCTAACCTACCATGTGACTTTGAACATGTCACTTAAAGAACTCCCCACTGCCTTGAGGACAAAGAAAATACCTAAGCCAGGCATACAAAACTTTAGCATCCAACCTGCCTCTCAAGCCTCTTCTCTTCCTCTGTCACTTCCCTGTGGCCCTTGTGAGCTCCTCACAGCCCCTCGAAAGTACTGCCTTGCCAGGCCACCCTTTTGCTGTAGGACTAGCAAGGCTACTGTGACTGTCTGACAATGTGCTTGTCATCCTCACAGGCCTCTGAGCTCCTATTCAACAGGGACCCTGCAGAGACCTCGAAACCTTCCATGCCCACCAGAGGGTTCAGCACAGAGCAGGCGTCTAAGGAAAACATGGAGCAGGGAGGAGGGAAGGGCCACCAACAGCCATCAGCAGCAGAATCCCAGATCAGAAGTAGGCCATAGGGGGAGGCCATTCTGAGACACAGTACCTGGATCACACTCTGGCATCCTTCCATCGTGTCTGTCAACCCCAGCAGCACCCGATGTCTCAGGAGGGCTCCATTGGCAGCCGCCAGCCTTAGATCCGTATTAGTGTTGGCCTATAAGACAAGTACCAGATCTGTGGCCAACCTCCATAATGCCAGGGAGCTCCTGTCCCCTGGGTACTGCATACCATCCCTCCCTTACAAAGAAAAGTCTGGAGGGTGAGCAATCCTCACCCTCCAGACTCCTCCACATCCTCCCCTACAAAACAGGATTTTGGGGATAGTAAACTCAAGAGTTAGAGAGTCTGGCCTGAAGTCCACCTCTGCTACTACTTCCTGGTTGTGCAGCCTGCACAAGCTATGTCCCTTCCCTGAGTCTTCTTGTCTTCCATTGTCTCATAAGGATAAAGAACATCCTTGCCTCCCGGGAACAAGGGGAGATTCCAATGAGATTGTATTTGAAGTCCCTAACCCAGGACTGGGATGAAGTCAAAAGGTAATAGATGTCTGTGGGAAGCAAGAGACAGATGGTCTGAGCAGCCACTGGAGTAACCTCCAGCTCTGTCTCTAAGGGGCACAGTGACTGGCTCTCAGAAGGGGCTTCTTTCTTCTGCTCCTGGCCACATCAGTCAAGGCAGAGGAAGGGCAGCAGGACCAAAGTGCTGGTTTGAAAAGAGACTCCCAAGGGACCTTCAGATATAGTCAGAAGACAGCAGCTCACTCAACAACAAAGCCTCAAATGGGAAGTGTGAGGAGGCTCTCTGGGTGGTCAGGTGTGGGACAGATCATGTTGGCACACAGTAGAGAAAGGCTGGGGTGCTAACACACACTCCCACTGAGGGCATCGCCTATGAGAGATGATTCTGCTCTTGAGGATCTGTCTCCCAGAGCCCCACTGGGCATTAATGTGGGTGGAAAATCTGCTTACGACTCTGACATGCCACCCTCACTCCATTTTCATGTAGATGTTGTAGATGGGTTTAACACGTGAACTTTCCAGGAATTACTGCTATGAAAACCATGGGATGATCACATTTTGTTTTGCCTAGAACTCTGGTAAGGTTGTCCATCCTTTCAGAAACCCATTCACTGACAGTTCCATTCCTGTCTCTGCCTCCACTGCCCATGAGAGCCTAGGTAGCTCACTTAACATTTCTGCCTCCACCTCCTCAACCCAAACCAGAAATGACAATATCACTGCCTTACAGGTTATAACAAGGACAAAATGAGTTAATCCAGTGGAACACTCAGGATGGACACTCGATGCATGGCAGCCAGAATGTCACTGTGGAACAAACACTGCATTAAAACGCTGTATTTCTCACCACGCCACACTGGCCATGAATGAGTATTTTGGGAACTTCCATAGCAATGTGCTCTGCTCTGTAGAGGATACAAGGCAGGGTTTTGCTTGACTCCGTGAACTTTCTGATCTTCAGAAAGGCTACTGATCCACAAAACACGTACTGACAGTGAGAGTAACAATGGTCAAAAAGGAATCTGTGTGGTCCTGAGCGATAAGAAATCCCACGAGCTAGAGGTCCATGAGCTGAGATCCAAAAGAAGACCCGAGGAGAGTTGTGTGGCTATAGACTAGTTACTTAACCTCTCTGAGCTTTTCTTTGCTGGCAAACGAAGTGAGTAACAGTTAATACTCATTGAACGTTTAACGTTTATTGTATCCTAAATACTATTAAGCATTTTTCATGTAGTGAGTCACTTAATTCTCACAATGACTCTATGGTAGAGCTACAGTTATGATTTCATTTGAAAGATGAGGAAACTGAGGCCCTGAGAGGTTAAACCCTAACTTAGCCCAGACCGCATAATTACCCATGGCAGAGGTGTCCTGTCTCCATATAAAGTGTTGTTAGGCGCAGGCCCTAAGCACAAGGCACAGGGCACACAGCCCGGCAGCATCTTCCAACCTGCATGAATTACATCCACACCAGGAGCACCTGCCAGGTCGGGACTTCCAGCTCCTGCTAAAGCAGATCACTTTGCTTTTTCCTCTTCCCAAGAGAAGTTTCCTGCTGCAGCAGTGACTGGCTCATGGCTCAATTTATTTGTTAGAGCCCAACAGTGGCATTATCTTAGGAGCATGGTGGCAAAGCCCAACAAAGATCCTTTCAGACCAAGCAACCCATAAAGTTCCTATTTGTCCCTGTGAATGTAGGCGAACCCCAAACCATGACTACCTTTCCTGATACCCAACCGTCCTCTTGGATTCAGATAGGAACAAATGTCTGCTGTGGATATTACACTGTGCCCAAGGTTACAGAGGGACAGGCAGTGCAAAGATGGCATTGTGTGCTAGGCAAAATAACACTCCCAAAGACATGACTGCCCAGAAGCCATGAGTGAGCTGCTGCATGCAAAGGGGAATTAAAGGGCAAGATGGAATTAATGTTCCTGCTCAACTGACCTTAAAATAAAAGATGCTCTCAGATTATCCAGGGGAGGGCCAACGTAACCACATGGGTCCTTCAAATTGGAAGAGAGGAAGAAGAATTCGCTGGAAAAGGTGTGAGAAAGACGTCGCCGGCCATTGCTAGCCTTGAAGATGGGAAGAGGCAGTGAGCCAAGGAAGGTGCACCACCACTAACAGCTGAAGAGACCAGGAAGCAGACACCCCCTGGAGCCTCTGGAAGGATGTCGCCCTGCTGACATCTCAATGCTGGCCCAGTGAGGCCCACCTTGGACTCCTAACTACAGGACTGGAAGGTAATAAATTTGGACCATTTTAAGCCACTAAATTTATGGTAATTTGTTACCATAGCCCCAGAATCTCACAGAGATTCAGTAGGTTCTGACTGAGGACATGACTTAGAAGCCAAGCCTCCTGGTCTTGAATTCCAATTCTACCACCTATCAGCAGCAAGGCCTGGAGGCTTTCTGAGCCTCAGGTCCCCCATCTGTAAACTGAATGTAATAGCCTCTACCCAGAGTCCACAGGGCACTGAATGAGTGCGTAGAAAATGCTCAGTCCACAACAAAAGATAGACATTGAAACACAATGCAATCAGACTTTACAGGAAGCTGGGCGAATCCATCTCTTCTCTGAATGTGATCAAGAATCCAAGGGCTCAGCTCTGGACCCCAGCTCTCACTGACAGTGAGATCCAGGAGAAGTGACCTCAACCTAACCACCCACTGTCTGCCGCAAAGGTTGCTGCTGGTGTTAAACATGGCAGGCTGTCCACAAAGCACCATAAGAAGAAATAATGGGCACCTCCCCCATCCCTCACCCTCAGGCCCTCACAGGAGAGGAGGGGAGGAAGGGAGAGGGCTCAGTTCATTAAAGTGCTCCAAGAATACTGGCTAGCTCCTAAAGCAGTCCACTGCCAGCAAAGGCAATGCACAGGAATGAGGTAAGAAAAATAAAGGGCTCTCTTTTGCTTTCTGGCCAGGAGGTAAAAGGGCTTTGCTCCAGCCACAATATGCTGTCACCTCCCAGGCCCCATGCAACAGTGTCCAGTGATCATGGCCTGAAACCTCTAAAATTGTGAGGCGAAGAAAACCTTTTCTCTTTCTGAATGGAGAAAAAAAGAAAGCAAGTCAGGCAGCACATGCCTGTAGTCTCAGCATTCAGGAAGCTGCCAGAGAAGATCTTGAGTTCCAGGCCACTTAAGCTACATAATGAAACTCTGTCTTTAAAAACTAAAAAAACAGAATCATGTATGTGATTTCATTTCTTTTAGTCACTGGGCATATGAGTTAGTGTGAATTTTTATGGTTGAAGGCATTCTTTTTTTTTTTTTTTTTTTTTGGTGGTACTGGGGATTGAACTTAGGGCCTCATGCATTCTAGGCAAGGGCTCTACCACTTGGGCCATGCCTCCAGTCCTTTTGTTTGTATTTTGTTTTTCAGACAGGGTCTCACTATGCCTGGGCTGGCCTGGAACTCACAATACTCCTGCCTCTGGCCTCCCAAGTAACTATGATTACAGGTGTGGACAACCACGCCAGGCTTGGAGGGATTCTTTGAAGCAGGTGAGAGAAGAGCCTGACTTGGGCATCTCAGGCCTGACCAGCAACTCTGGAGGGAAGGAACAGGGGCTTCCAGACATCTCACCTTCCTCTGGTGCCTCTCAAAGACGAGCACGAGAGTCAAGGTCAGGCTCACCGCAGCCAGGGTTACAAGCAGCACACCTGCCCAGTGGCTGCCCAGGGCAAACAACTGGCTAGTGGAGTAGATATTGGCCCACACCACCACATAGAACACCTGCAGAAGCCAGGAAAAGAGCACAGTCAGAAACATCAGCTCTACTCAATGGGACCCCTAAAAACCCTCCTGGCAATCCCCATAGGTCTCAAACGGTTTCCAGGGCCAAGAAGAGTCCTCACCAATGCTGGGCCTGCAGGAGTGAACACATGTTCCTTGCTTATAGGTGAATGTCAAGAATGGGTTAGTAGCCACTATTAACCCTTCTTTACTCAGATTTTGAATAAAACAGAAAAAGGCAGGGGGCTCCTGAGTGAGAAGATTGAATAGGAAGCCCACACTGATCTTTCCTTTGCGGTATAGCTTGAACAACGATTGACACCTCTCTGTGCCTCAGTCTCCCCACCTGTAAAATGGGGATATTAATGCCCACTTCACAGGGTTGCTAATGGTTAACAAGGTAACACATGTCACAGTCCAGCAGTTGTTAGAGAAAGAATAATAAATGCTGGTCCTATCCTTTCCCTTCTCCCCAGGAGTGGGAGATGGGCATCAGCTGTGCCATTTAAGCATGGTCACATACAGAGAATCAGGAAGTCATATAATAGATTTTTAGAGGCTGCTTTTGCTAAAAAGCACTAAGGAACAAAGGGTAACTAAAAGCAGCATAAAAAACTTGGCAGCCCTGCCTCCATTTTGTATCTGTCTTTGCTCTGAGCCATTCTCTCTACAGTCATCTTGCAGCCACCTTAGAATCCAGGAATGACAGGACTACTGGATAAACAGCCTGTGACAAGAGTCAAAACTACCCCCGTCACAATGACTTTCCAATGTGACCATAAGCCACCTGCCCACCCAGAGATGGTAATCAGCTAGACCATACCTCACCCCTCGCCCCAGTTCTTCCTCCACTTAAACCTAAAACACACATCTACACTGCAGATGGCTGAGATGCTTCCTGTGCCTTTTCCCTCGGTGTGCCCATGCTGTGCAATAAATCTCCTTTCTCTGCCCTCACCACTGCTCATCTCTTTATTTGGAGTATTGGGGCAAGTGGAGGGACCTCACACAAGAAACCCTGGAGTGGGGCCTCTGGTCTAGAACTCTGGTTACAGTCAGAGTGGCTAAAAGAGAAGGGGCAGGAGCCAGACCACCTGGGTTCAAAGGCTGCTCTGCCATATATGTATGTGTTCATGTGTGTAAATATGTAGGCACAGATGCATGTTTACATGGACACACGTGTATACATATATCTACATACATGTATACATGACTAGAGCTGAAACAGACCTACTGTGAACAGAAGGGAAACCAAGTTCCAGAAAGGAGAAAAGTCCTGGCCAAGGGCAGATATGGAGTCCAGCACCTGGTGGGTCTGCAGATTCACAGCCCCAAGCTTCGGCCACCATTAAACCCTGACATTCATCCTTCACATGGGAGCCTTGCCATGACTCTCCCAGATTTCCTTCTACACCAAATACAAGTCCGTGTGGCATCGCTCTTCCCCAGACAGCTGGGCAGCTAGCCCCAAAACCCTCATCCTCCCCAGGACACAACACTGCATTCGGCAATACCATGGGGCGAGCAGGGTGCTTACCACAGCAAAGGCCAGCCGCACAGGCCTGGAGTTGTAGATGATGTACCTCCTCACCTGGGGCTCCAGGAGGGCGCTCTCAGCGAGGCTCCTGTACTGGTCAGCAGGGACCTGCACAGTCACCCAGGGAAAGAGATCAACCGGCCAGGGGAGAACCACTCCCCGCCTCCTCCCTGCCAGCTAACAGGTCACTCCCAATTCACATGATCATCCCATGGGAGGGAGAGTGGGCACATTCAGGGTGGCCCCAGAGGGCAGAGCTCAGAGCTCGGGGCACTAGGTAGAAATCACAGGGGAGATGACAGCTGAGGTCCAGCAGGGCATCCTACAGAGGGATCCCCACGGCCTAAGAGTCAGTGCACTGCAGCACACATAGGCCCTGAACCAAAGCAGCCCTACCACTTTGCTGTGTAACCTGGCACAAATTATCCCCACTCCTCCGAGACTCAGTTTCCCTCCTGATTAAAAATGGTATGGAGGGGCTGGCCGAGTGGCTCAAGTGGTAGGGTACATGTCTTGCAAGCATGAAGCCCTGAGTTCAAACCCTAGTACCACCAAAAAAAAAAAAAAAAAGGTATGGAGGAACATGGCACAACAGCATGTGCACTGTGTGGCAGTAAGGAAACCCAGTCTTTTTCAGAAAGGTGTTTCTTTGTACAAAGGCTGGAAGGATGACGCCAGCTTGCTGAGAAGGGCTGGTGCTGTCCGTCTGGAAAGTTTTCCTTCAATGCTGACAAAATATCACTCTAAATGAAAATGCTTTTTTTTAAAATGAGACAGGGTCTCACTATGTAGCCCAGGTTGGCCTCAAACACCAGCCCCAGCCTCTGGAGTGCTGGGGTTACAGCTGCACCACCACACCTGGCCACATTTCAGTGTTAAAGCAGTGAATGCTAAAATCTCCAAAATCTTCAGGGTATGATCATCAGCACTTGTTCCCCATTGTGATGAATTCCCCACCCCCATCATTTGTAGGTGATGACACTGAGGTTCAGAGAGGTTAAGTTACCTCCCCAAAGTCACACAGCAGTGAGCAGCGGAACTGGAGTGGAATCCAGACAGGGCTCTATGAAGCGAGTGTCTAGATTCACTGACACTTGAAGGTCCTGTTTCAGGATGCAGTGCATTCCTGCAAACATTCCTTGATTCCTCCCTACCATGCCCTTCCTCCTGCCCGCCCAGCGCACTCCTCTTTAGCCTTCCAGATCTTACACCAAGGTCAGCTCCTGTGTGGCCCACCGTAGGCAAGTTTATCATCTTCTCCTGTGAACGTGTTCAGTACCTGGGGCATTCCTCCTCTGTGGCACTCACGTCCTGCTCTCCTGATCTGTCCAACACATGTCCAGCTCCCCACTGGGCTCTGTGACCAGCCTGAGCACCTGCCCTGCATCCTGGTCACCCCTGCACACAGTGGGCACCCCAAAACACATGGCTTCATGAACTCACTGGGAAAACAGGTCAGCTCTCACACACCTTCCCTATGTACCTGACCACAGCCAGCAGAGTAAGTGTTTAATAACTATTTAGTGAGTAACAGGATGAAAGCATCGATGGATAGGTGGGTGGACAGAGGAGAAAGTGCCAAGGACTCAATACTGTCAGCACTTACCTGAAGGCCCCAGGCCTGAAGCTGCTCTTCTGCGGCTCCCAGATCAAAGGAGATAGGTGCACAGGTATTATCGATGCGGAGGACTGTGAGGACCTGGCCATTGTGCAGCTCTGCAAGCAAGGATTCCATAAAATTCTAAGTTCTACATCTCACCAAAAAGAGCTTTGTATTCTGCCCTCTCCCAAGGGCCAAGCATGGTGGCTCACGCCTGTAATCCCAGCTACATGGGAAGCAAAGGGATGTGAAGGAAAGACAAGTAAGATAGTTTGGGGATCAAACTGTAGCTGAGCCTCTCACTAAGAGTATAAACTTAAACTTGTACCTGTTTCCTCACCTAGAGGATCATCTCAGTCACTGCAAAGGACTTTATAAATAATTCGGTTTATAAACAGACATGCTTAGCACAAAATAGACACACAATTACTGCCCCTATTGTTGCAACTTAAAAGCAAGCTGGTCAGAACTCAAAAGTAGTAATAAAACAACCCAGATTTATTTTTGTTTGTTTTTACACTCCCACACCTTGTTGCAGAAAGGACCTCAGGTAAGCTTCATAAAATTATAAAAAGATAAAATTACAAGATTAAACAGGAATATGCAAAAAAAAAAAACTAGACAGAAGAAAATGAAAGCAGTCAAAAAGAACAGGTACTGAGAACCAAGCATGGTGGTACATGCCTGGAATCCAGTTATGTGGGAGGCAGAAGTAGGAGATTAAGATCCAAGGCTGACCCTGGCAAAAAGCACGATACCCTGTCTGAAAAACAAACTGAAAAGTAAAAGCACTAGGGATATGGCTCAAGTGGCAGAGCATCTGCTAGGGTAGGTTCTGAGTTCAGGTCCTAGGTATTGAGCCCTTACCATGCCCCAGGCCATGGGCTGAGGCTCCAGTCAGGTTTCATTGACTCATCTATGAGCCCCAAACACAGGTGCCATTCACACGGAAAAGGAAGCAGAGCCTCTGAAAAGTGAAGGAACTTGCCCAGGGTTGACAGGGAAAGCAAGTGACAGAGGGAAAGCAGAGCAGGAAGGTGCAGCCATAGGGTGGGCAAGGCGGGTCTTAGACGGGCCCTCCACCTTGCAGCACAGCATGAAATCCCCACAGGAATCTGGGCTCCGGGATGAAGGCTCTGAACATCCCCATCAGGCTCTCTACACAGTGTTTGCCTGAGCTTCAGAGACCTTTCACTGTCTTTGTTAGCCTTCAGAACAAAGAGCTCCAGGATTCCTGGCAATACGATCTCTCATCTGTTCCTGAAAATGAGAGCAGCAAGTCCTCCACTGACAAGTACTTGTTTTTACACCTATGCTAAGAAAAGCTACCAAAGAAGAATGCGTGTGTGTGTGTATGTGTGTGTGTGCGCACGCTCATATGTGCAGGACACAGCAATTTCCTACAGAGGAGCAAGAAATGGCTTGCCAAAAATCAGCAGAGCAACATCTTTAAAATCTTAAAGGAAAATTTCATTCCATTTCATTCTAGGCTGTATGCATAAATGTATAAATTGCTTTCCTAGTAACTGCAGCAATAAAACAATCTGCTTTTAAGCAGTGAAGTTTCAAACCCTCTAAGTAACCAAGCCACGTTCCTGTGGATCTCCTACAGTTCAAAGTGCTGGGTCCACCTTCTATACACAGCCACTCTTCCACTGTTCATTCGACCCAATGCTTACTGGGCATCTAATGTGGGCCAGGCCTGGGCTCGACCCTGACATACAAGATGAAGAAGACAGCACAAAGCCCTGTCGTCCTGGAGCTTACAGTACAGCGGGGAGGGGGGGTGGCTGAACACTTAGCATTTATTAATCAGATAATTATTCCAGACTGGGATAAGTACAGAGGGTCCTGACTTAGGCTGAGTCATCACAAGTTTCTTATAGAAGGGATATCTGAACTGAGTTCTGAAGGATAAGGTGAAATTAAGCAGGAGAAAGGCAACAGGGAAAAAACAAAACAGGCAGAAGGGGCAGCACATACAAAGGCCCAGAGGCAGAACAGCATGGCAAAGCACAAAGAACCCCAGAAGCCATTAATACAGGCCTTGAAAGCTGGTGAATGACAGATCTTCATGCCAAGTTCAGTGGGAGACACTAAAGCAGAAAGTGACAGGGCTGGTGTGCACTTGAAAAGGATGTCTCTGGATGCCACAGAGAGAAAGGATGTGTGAGAAGCATGGAGGAGAGAACAGCTGGGAAACAGAGAGTGACAACAGGAAGTGGCCATAGAGAGAACAGGGTAGAAATGACAGCAAGTGGCCTGGAAATGAATTCCAAAGTCACCCACCTTATCTAAAGGACCCTCAGTGTCCTTTTCTAACTGTAGCCAGTCAGGCCACATGAGCCCACTGCAGCATGGGGCAGAGCGAGAAGGGGAGGGTGAAGGGTCATCACCTTCTTACCTTGCCCCCACCCAGGAGGGCTCCCACCAGGCAGAGCGCCCCAGCCAGGAGAGGAGGTGGGCAGTGGGCTAGCAGCCCCACCGGGGTCCATCTGTGGCTCACAGGCCATGACAAGGAGCCAGCTGGCTTCTACTTCCTTTCCTGGAACTGTGGTTCATGCTGGCTGGAGCAGCAGGCTCAGCTTCACTGCCCTTTGAAAAATAGCACATAAAGGAGCTTCAGGCCTGGGCCGCAGCACCCCAGGCTTTCTGGAGCACTCTTAGGCCTAAGTCACCAAAGGCCAAGGACGGCCACCAGGGTCTTTACACTAACTTTAGTCTTTCTCATCATGCTCAGGAAATTTCTCAGAGGAAGAAAGAGGAAGAACTAAAACCTCCCCAGACCTCAGCTGAGAACTTCCCTTCTGTCTTGGGTCCTTTCCAGCTCAGCCACACCAGGAACCCACATGTCACTCAGAAGCTGACCAGATCTCACATGTCACATACTGAGGATGCTCCAGATAAACAGGCACAAGTCAGCAGCTACATTACAGGAGCTTGCATACATACCCAGGCTCTCACACAGCTTCCCGCAAGTCATTGTAAAATACACAGGGGGAAAAAATCAGGGGATGAGAAACACAAATTACAAAAGAACAGGAATTGGCAACCATGAAGGCAAAAATACCCAGCTATTCAGGTAATCAGGCTCCCCAGCAGAGGCAGTGGAGCTCTGTGTTCAAGAACATGCCCTCTACAGTGAGATTAACTAGGTGAAATGCCAGCCCCACCCCCTCCCAGTTACAGAAACTTGAGCAAGCGGTTTAATCTTGGAGTTTCAGCTCTTCAAGCAAGGAACCTTCCCCACAGAGTCAAAGAATCGATAGATGCCACATGTAAAGGACATACAGCAGCATCTGGGACAAAGGACACCTTCCATGACTATTAGCTACTGAAAACAAATCGCTCTTAGTGCTCTTTTGAGATCTGACACAGTTGCTGTGCCTACATATAAATTTACTTTTGAGCTTCCAGGTAGCCAATGTGAACAATGTGAACATGGAAACACTGTCAAATAGTTATAGCTCTAAGGAGGGAAGATAGTAATTTGCGCCTTCTTGGCATTTGCTTCTAAAAGATCTTGGAGACGCTTCCAGAGCCTCCAGGGCCAGGTCCCTGAGAGGCACAGTGGATGTCACCCTTAGCCACTTGCATCAGCAAAAGCAGGGGTCCCTTTGTGGGTATTTCCTTGTTGAAAAAGTGAATCTCTGTGCCACCTGCTTTGGCTAGTCCATACACACGAACCTGAAAATCATGCCGAAGTGCCCAGGGATGACAAACCAGCCCTACAAATGTCTTGGTGAAGACCTACTTATAGAAGCTTCTTTTGCTACCCTGGCCAATGATACTGGGGAAGACATGAAGTATCCAGTTGGCACACATCTGCTTGCTTCCATGCTGGCCCAGGACACATCTTCACTGACCATGTTCTGCACAGGGGGATCCTGTTCCTCACGTCCTCATCACTGTCCACTTCTCCCCATACTTTAAACAGGACCAGCTATCTGATTTGTGGGGCACACTGCAAAATGAAAATGTGGGGACTCTCATTCAGAAATTATGATGAATTCTCAGATGGTAATAGCAGAACATATGGGAACCTTTCTAAGTGGGGGCCCTGAGTTGAAGCTGGCCCTGACTTTAACCTCTAGAAGGTTCCTTGGACATCCCCTCTCCCAACGAACAATATATACCAGATAAGCTTTTAATTAACAATTATCACACACTCACCCTGAACTAGGCTCTAAGACCAGAAATCAGTTCAATATTATGAAAAGACTGAAGACTTCGGAACCAGAAAGCCTGGGCTTACTGTGACATTGGCTGCCAAGGCACCCCGCCTGAACCTTGCTGCTCCCGTCTCTAAATGGGGTAGCCTGCCTCCCTCGGCAGCTGTGAGGATAAAACAGGAGATGCAAGCTTAAGGTCTAGTGCTCTGCTCACTGCAGGTCCCTTGCTTCAGTATGGTTTTCCTGTTTCACAGGGGAGAAATGTGACCATCAAAGGTATGAAATGACCTGCCCGAAGCTGGGTGGCTAGCTGAGGACCCTGCCATCCCCAGCCGAAGCTGTCTAGCTCTGACTCCACACCCATCATTTCCATGTCCTCATACCTCTGGACCTTGTCTGGCTGTCTCCAAGCTGAAACCTTTAAAAAGAATGGGTCAAAACACACTTCATTTTCCAGCAGTGATCTAGAAAAAAGTTCTAGTCAGACTAAAATGCTCGCTGCTAGGAAGGCAAGGTCTTCTCCCCAGCTAGCCAGGACCTGGCCCCAGCAGAGTATTTACGTCAATCTTATGTTTTCCTTCCTCCTTCTTACCCTGTATCCACAAGAGGCTTGAAAGCAACAAAAACAGCCACAAAGTTGTGCCCTGCACTGAAACCCTTCTCTACTTCATGTGACCACCTGCTAGGCCCCAGAGACAGCTAGAACCCCCAGGAACTGTCAGCTTTCCAGCCTGCAGCCAGAAAAGCTGTCCTAGTAGATCACAAAGGCCTGGGGGGCCCAGGGTGAAGAGGGTCGACCACCACCAGCTGGAGTTGCAGAGGTCAGAGGTCTCCTTCCAGGCTGCACAGAATGGCCCCATTAGTTGCAAAATCACACAATGAGGCATTGTCTTGGGGTAGAAATCACAGACTCTAGTTGGTCCCATCAGCTGCTCACAAAGTCCCAATTAGCAGATTTCATTCATTCACCTCAGGCTGTTCTGTGTGGTGGCTAAAAGTAACCTGTCCGGTCCTACCACTTCCCACCTGTGTGACCTCCAGCAAGTTCCTGAACTTCTGTTTGTCTAAGTGGAAATGGAGATAGTGATGGTAATTTTGGATTGCCCTGAGGTTTAGCGTTTGCACATGTAATTCATACAAACAGCACTGGGAAAAAGAGCAATCACTGTCATCGTTCTCTACTACACAGACATCCCCTGAGAACATTCTAGGGTCAAGCCCAGCCTATAAAACTGGAAATAAAATCTGAAGTCCCTGACCAGGCCTCCCTGTTGGGGATCATCATCTGAGGGAAAGACAAAAGCAGAAAGAAAATTATCAAAGACCAAACAAGACATAAAAGCGAGCACCTTGGGACAGGAAAAGGGTCCTTCAGGCTTTCTAGAGGGGAGGAGGCGCCCTGGCTTGGCAAAGGTGGAGGTGAGAGTAGGAATGAGTTCAGACCAGAGGCAAGCAGGGTGCAGGCCAAGGGCAGACCCTGACCATCACCCACCCTGTGTCCAGGACCCCCAGCCCTACTGAACCCAGCTCCAGTCCCAGGCGCCTTGGAGTCAGGCACGAGGGTGGCGGGATGGAGCCTGCAGAGACCGCCCTACCTGGTTACAGTCTGGCTTCTGAGATCCCTTTGGGGATCCCACGTTTACCCAGCCCCCCGGTCCTCAGCCTTGCACAGGCTCAACTCCCTGGGGGGCTCCATCTCTGCCAGCCTCCCCAATAACGCCTCACGGAACTGGTTTTCCTCAGTGGGATTGCGGCTGGTGAGCCGACCTGGAAAACCGACAGGAGACCACAGGAAGTGTGGGGGTGGGAAAGCCTGGAGAGTCAAATGTCCAAACTCCTCCTTTCACAGCCGTGGAAATGAAGACCCAGAAGAGAAAGTCAACTACCCAAGGTCAAGAGCGGGTCCCGGGGCGGGCCAGCAGCGAAACCCGGCTCCTTCAGGCCGGGGATAGCGTACCTGGCCTTAGCCTTGGGCAGCTGTGACTGCCCCGTCTCTGCCCCCAGGTCTTGTCCAGGTCCGCCGCCTGAGGGATGGGGGACGGGGGCACCTCCTTCACCCCAGAAATCACCCAGCCCTCCAGGCCGCGGAATCCCCGGCCGCGCAGCGCGCAGCTCTCCCCCCGGAGCAGCGTCGCGCCGCCCACCGGGCCACCGGGGCCCTCGCGACGCGAACGCAGGCCCTGGCCGAGGCGCCCGGCGGCCCCGCAGCGCCGGCACCGCGCGACACCACTGCGACCGCGGGCGCGCGCACGGTCCCGCGCCGCACTCACCGCCGCACCGCCGCCGCCGCCGCCGCCCGGGGACGCGGAAGATCCGGAGCGCTGCAGCCCTCCGCGCCGCAGCCTCCGGGCGCCGCTCGCCCGCCCGCCTCCAGCGCGTGGCACCGCCCTCCGGGCCCGCCCCCGACCCGGCTGGCCCCCGCCGTCCCCGCACCGGCAGGAGCCGCCCTCCGGGTTCGGCTCGGACCGGGAGGGAACGCTTCTCCCCGGCCCGCAGCATTTCATCAGCCCGGCTCCCCCGGGACGCCGGAAGGGCCTCCGCGCCCCGCGGGCCACGTGCATCGGGTCTGGGGCTCTGCGGGGGCAGCCGGGACCTGGGGCACGTCCCCGCCCCGCTGTAAAGCAGCGGCGCCCTGGTGAGGTCCACTCCCGGGGGACATGCAATCACGGGACCCGGTGGATGAAGCAATATTAGAACAGAAGTCTCTCCGGGACTTGGGCGCTCTGTACGCTGTGTTGTAAGAGCATCTGTTTGGAGATCAGATTACCTGAGCTCCATCCAATCCAGGTCTCTCTCTCCACTGCTTATTTCGTATTCGGTAAATTATTTAAACTCGTGTCTTTTTTTTTTTTTTCAAAAATCATTAATTATAACTATGCCAGGGGGTTGTGTGAAGATTTAATGAGCTCATCAGAGTGAAATGTTCGAAACCACCAGACACATCACACCTGCTCACTGCATGCTGGCCACCACCATCATCACTCATTACCTATGAGGGGTCTGCAGTGGAAATTTACGTTCCCCTTCCCCCAAGAAAGCACGAACCTTGTGTATTTTTCTTTAGGACACACGGGGGTGGGGGATACGTTTATGCAAAGGTGAGCCGACTATTCTTTTGGGGACCCTGCTTTTTCATTCAACAAAGTATCTGGGTATTCATCTCCTGCAGAACACTCCACTCTGCCTCATTTCCCTTTAAGTGGTTCATAAACTTCCGTACACCGTAGAAAGAGCATTCACTTTCCTGGCCCCTCTCTCTTGGTGGATGCATAGGAGGTTCCCACTCCTGCAGTGCTGGGACATTCATGGTCACTGCTACTGTATATACAACACACCTGCATTTCTACAGTGAACTTGCACACATTTTTAATTTCAATAATTACTCCCAAATTGTTGAGGGACTTTCAGACCACAGGGCCCAGCTGGCAGCATGCTCAGCCAGCCCAGAGGCAAAGTGCCTGGAGGCAGCGAGCAGGAATTGGAAACCCTCATTTATGGGGTAAGTGGGGACCAAGGCAGAGGGCCACTAGAAATTAAGTGAATTCATTTTATTAGCAAATCCACAT